CGGGGCAGGGGGCCGCTGCGGCCAGGCCACACATTTGGGGCTGGCTGTTGGGGTTTTGCTGCCAGTTTTTCCCTTTCTCTCAAACATCCAGGCCTCCTTCCTGGAATTTGTTTTACATCAAGACGCTATGTACCCTTTCAATACTGTGTGGTGTTCTCCATCTTTTTCCTTTTTTAATTAGCCAGGCCCAGGAGAATGGAGCTGAGGAAGTCGAATGGTTCTCGCTTGTAACTATTATTTTTGATTTCTATGCTTCCTTTCTGCTAGAAGTCACCTCCTCACAGATAATACGATAGCCTAACGTGAAAATAATAATAATGGCTTTTGATGGGGTGTTGTCCTGTCTAGAGTTAAAAGCGAGGGGTTGTGTTGCAAATAGATGAGGCTTTAACTTGCCTTAAACGTTGGATTCTGCCAGGATTTCCCAATTACTGAGCTTGGGGTTGAGGTTTTTGAAGTGGCCCGCACTGGGAGGTGCGAGGCTGTTGCCTGATGAAGGCAGCTTCTGCTTCACGGGTGCGTGCGGTTTCCTGACAGAGGAGAATTTTCCATATTGGCCCTCCTACCTTCACTGCTAGTCCCTGGGAACCGGTGTCTTTTTCTCCTGCCTTTGCCGATATTTGCGTGCGGTCCTGTTCTAGTGCAACACTGCGGCGGCAGCTGTCCCCACCGAATCAGGAGACAGCTTTGCCCGCATTTTCTGCGGATGCATATGGCATTTAGTCTGTGTACGGTGGCTTTTTAAACATGCTGAGGGGTGTATTCGGTTGCTCTGGCAGCATAGCTTTTCTTCTGCAGTATTTGAGAGCATAATTTCGGTGAAAGCGTGTTGCCGAGTGTATGCTCGTCTTGAGGCTTGGAACGAAAGCCTTCTGCTGAAAAGACTGTAATTCTTTTTTTTTTTTTCTTCCAACCTTCCTGTGAAAAAAACTTTTATTTTTTTTTTTTTTTTTTTCCCCCCCCCCGCAAAGAGACGTGTTGCTAACTTCTCCGCTTCCATTTCCAGCTGTCCCATTTCCTCCCACGCAGCGGCTCACTCTGAAGGAGGTGTTTGAGGACGGGAAGCCTAGGCTTGACGTCTTGAAGAGCCACTTGGTGAAGGAAGGGCGCCTGGAAGAGGATGCGGCGCTGAAGATCATCAACGACGGGGCTGCCATCCTTAGGCACGAGAAGACAATGATTGAAGTGGAGGCTCCCATCACAGGTCAGAGAGCTTTCTGCCGCTGGAGTCCTAAAAAAGGGCCGTCTAGGAAGCACAGGCCGCTCAAAGGAGCGGGTTTCTTGCTGTGCTCTTTCCACCAGCAAGGTTTTTAAATTGCCTGAACTCTCAGAAGAGAGGATTTTGCTGGTGTAGATTGAGTACATCCTTGCAGAAGCTGGATGTAAAGCGGGGGCAGCTTGGGTCAGGGCACAGCCAAGCTATGCTCCTTGTTGCTATCGTGACCTTTCTTTTCTTGGCATGTAATTCTGTCCCTCTTTTGTGCTGTTCTTCCTCCCCTAGTGTGCGGTGACATTCACGGGCAGTTTTTTGACCTGATGAAGTTGTTTGAAGTCGGAGGATCACCCAATAACACCCGCTACCTCTTCCTGGGAGACTATGTGGACAGAGGCTACTTCAGTATAGAGGTGACAAATAAAGCTGAGCCTGGGGCTGCTGGTGCTAAACTAACTGAAAGTGTTGAACTAAACTAGCAAATACAGACTTCTGTGCTGGATTTTATGCTCCAGTCTAGTTTTGCGTGCAGGGAAGAACAACAGTATGATTTTTGGCCAAAAAGTGATGTCCAAATGTCATGATTTTGAATTGGACCCTCACCCAGTGACAGAATGAAACGGCAGCAGTGGGGTTAACGGCTAAATTCTGGCTTCTGAACTCGAGTTTTAATATCACTTGTAGCTGTCAGTCAGGGGAACACGAGGGAGAGTTGATTGTATGTTGCAGGCAACAGGATCCTACCAGGCAGTGGGAAGCAAAATGTTTAAAAACTTGCAGGATTCAGCTTAGCAGGGAAAAGAAAGCTCTACACTACTGAGTCACTGCTTCCCTACCGTCCCCCTGAAAGCATCAACCCTGCGGTGCCGGAGACGGGGTTGGAAAAAGGAGCAGTAAATCCCCTGGGCTGTTGTACATCTCGCTGTGACCCAGGAGCTTGATGCCGAGGCGTTTGTCTGAGTACCTGGCCGTGCTGTGCCCGTGTGAGGGTCTCCTGGCCACCATAACGCTGTCACCTTACAGATGTCAGCCGAACATCTGGCGCCGTGTTCGGGTTTTGCAGCTCTGTGGGTGCCCCCGAGCGAGCGTTGGGTAACGCTGCGAGTTGTTGGTCTTAAAGGGCAAGGTAAAATCGATGGGCCCCCGCGGCTGCTGCTGGCTCGCTGCTGCCCTGCGAGCAGCAGAGCAGGCGGGGGGGGAGAGCCGTTAGCAAATGCCGCAAACCCCGACGGATTGCAGCGTTCAGGTTTCGCAGAGGCAGAGCCGAGTGGAAAAGCAGCGCTTATTCCAGTTGGAAGCGGCGTAACGGGGGGCATCTGGGGAAACGGGGGCATGGAAGGGGGCAGAACTGGCCTGGAATATCAGATTCGGAGGTTTCCCTTCGGGGAGGGAGGGTGCGTACCACAGTGCGGGAGCAGCTGAGCTGTTGGCTCTGCAGAGGGGTCTTTCGCAGTTAAATTTTGGGGAGGAACTCGCGGGCAGAGATGAAGGCGGCTGACGCCAGTGCTGCTGTGAAGGATCCTGCGGAGGATTTGGGAGCGTACCGCCGGCAGCTCGTGCTTCAGCCTTGCGCTCCCTGCGTGCCCAAACACTGACGGTGAGCCAAGGCGTGGCGGCGAGCGGTGTCCGGGGTAGCGCGGACGGATGCTGGAGAGGTGGGGTTGCGGCGGTCGGGCTTGCTGGTGCTGCTGGCAGGAGGAGCCCCGGAACCCCTGGGGAGGAAGGGGAAGAACAGGCATCTGACCTCTTGTTTAAATGGCTTGGCTTGCGTAAATGGGTTTTGCAGTATATTTACCTGGAAAAGAGATTATATTACTGCACGGCAACTCTTTCTGAGATAGGACAAGGATTTTTTTTTTTGGTATTAACCAAGAAACCTTCAAACAACAGTTGTCATACCCTCTGTCTACGCATGAATTTTGCAGATCCTGGGGGGTGAAGTGCTTCTCCCACTCTTTGCTCTTACCCTCTGATGGATCTGGACATTGGAGTCTCACTCCCAGATCTGCAGAAAAGAGTGCCGGAGCTGGGGGTCGGTGCCCTCGTTTCTCTCTGCTGTGGTAATATGGGAGAATTCCAGGGTGATGGATGAGGAGTCTGCCTTGGAGAACAGAGGTGGTGCGTTGAGGCATTTTACTTTTTTGAGGAGGAAGGTCTGAAGGTTATAGGTGAACCTCACTGGGTCTCTGCTGTGGCCTGACACTCCAACCCAGGGCCTGTGCAAGGCAGCCTGGTGTTTTTGGGCTCAAGAGCCTTGGGGCAGTCGGTCTTCAGCAACTCTGAGCGGAGAGTTCTTATTTCAATGCTGCTCTTGACCCTCGTCCTTCCCCTTTCCCCCCGTGCTGCAGAGGGAAAGCCGCCGAGCGCTCCGTTACCCCACAGAGCCAGCATTGATCTTTCACGAATCAGGGTGGGCTTTGATTAGTACATGCGGGGGCTGATCCAAATGTCACTGATAAAGCAGAATCTAGAAGGGTTGATTCCCTTGTTCCTATTGATGTGTGCCTCTTCTTTCCACCTACTGCAAAGAGCAGCCGATGTGTTCTGAGAGATTCCCACCTGGGTGTGCAGAAACCGGTTTCTATAGCGAAACCGCAGGAGGTTTGCTGCTGGCGTGGAGGTTCGCTGCAAGCAAAGCGTGGACGGCGCCGAATCGGTGTCTTTGCGCTGTATTTTTTTTTTTAAAGACTTCTATAAAACCCAGAGCTGTAGCAGCTGGCCTCCGAAATGCAGCGACGGCCGATCGGTGAATGTTTTGGGTTTGGGGTTTCGATGCCTGTGTCCCCGCAGCTCAGGTGATGGAAAGGCGTCCCGGTTTCCCTGTGCCACTGGGAAGCTGGAGAGAGCCAGCATCCCTGGGCTTTCATGAGTCACCACGCAAGCTTGTGCATCCATGTGCTGGGTGGGGATGTTGCCGAGTGCCTGCCTGGAGCAGCTGATAACCGTGACCTTTTAACTGGATGAAATAGGAGGTAATTGTATAATTGCATCCTGATGCAGGCAGTCGGGGAAACCAGATGCAAAACTGGGGGCCAAGGAGGTGTTAAGGCAAACAGCGTGGCTTGTTAGCGGCCCAAAGAACCCTGGCAAGCTTTCCCCATGGCTGTGAGTGTTTGGTTGTCAAGGTAAAAGGAGCAGTTTGTGGTTCAGACAAAACCTTTAAAAACCCCAAAAGCCTCTGTTCATCAGCTCAGCTGGATGTCTTCAACAAATTATTTCTGGGCCTCTGGCTTAAGGAAGTTCTCATTTAACAACGTTCATTCCTGGTAAGTATAATGAGGCCATGAAGCGTGGTCTGGTTGTTATTTCTTTCAAAGGAAAGAGTTGTGGGGGGAGAGGGGAGGGAAGCAGCCGTGTGAAAGCTGCGACGGCTGGCGGCTGGTGGGAGAGGACTCTGCAGAGCCTTGGCTTTCGGTCCGTGCCACAGAGCCCACTGCGGCAGCGGGACCGACCCGGGGGCAGCCTCAGACCGGGGGGAGGGAAGCAGCCGTGTGAAAGCTGCGACGGCTGGCGGCTGGTGGGGGGGGGCTCTGCAGAGCCTTGGCTTTCGGTCCGTGCCACAGAGCCCACTGCGGCAGCGAGACTGACCTGGGCGCAGCCTCAGACGGGGCAGCGAAGGGGCTGCCGGGCAGCGCGAGAGCCGGGCTGGACCGCTCCGTTTGGAGACGCTGACGGCGCGGCATCCCGAGGAAGGACTCTCCCGTCAGTCTGCAAGGGCCAGAGCCGCTCGCTTCCCAGCGCTTTGAGCTTCTGCTTCCCTCTCCTAGCCCTGCTGCGAGGGAGGGCTGTGCCTGTGCTGGTGAGGGACCATCGTGGTCCGCGGAGCCAGAACTGCCGGAATACAATGAATAGAATTGTTTTAGTAAATTATAAAGTGAAACAATTATTATGACCAAAAATAGAACCTATGGAAGGAGTAGATGTATCAGTAAAGGTGGCGTGATGATGGCATACACCTTTGCCAGACTAGTTTTTCAAATCCAATTACAATGAGACACATGATCGTTGCCTAATTATGGCATTGTATGTGTGGTAATCTTGCCAGGGTTGAATGCATGATTTTAGCTGGAATAATATCAAAGAGATCCGGTCAGTGTTGTAAGGCGTGAGCGAAGGTGGGCTCGTGGGCCGGCATGCAGGAGTTCTGCCGCGCTGCTTCTCCTGTGCCTGCTCCGGGAAGAGCTGGCAGGCTCGAGGTTTATAACCTTCTCGTAAAAGCTGGGGTCTGTAGGTGGTACGAGAGCTGACGGCGTGGCTGGTCGCGGCAGGCTTGGCAGCAGCCCCCTCGCATTTGTGCGGGATTCACGTAGCGATGCCTCCTGCGGTCCCCCCGCCGTGACCTGCGGAGCTTTCCCCTTGCGAGTGGGGGGCGGGGAGCCGAGCCTGGCTTTGGGCTTCAAACCCATGGGCGGAAGAAGGGGAGAAGTAGATTATCGAAGCCCAGTAAGCCATAATTGTCTCGAGTTGCTGCTAGGCTGTTGTAAGCACACGGTGATCAATTCCTGGGCGCAGTGCCTTGAAAGGCTGGGGGAGGGATCTGTACGAAACGCCAAGAAGCATCGGAAGCATGCGAGTGTAGAAACCTCCCTGGTTCCTCGTGGCAGCCCCTCCGGAGCTGGCGAGGGCTGTTGGATGTCCCTTACTCGCCGTCACCCCTCTGATACCCGGCAGCCCCGCGGCCTCACGAAATAGCTGCGAACCCCGGGGAGCTGCGGCGGTACCGGAGGCGTTTGCTCTCGACGCCTGTGGTTTGCTTGCTGTGTGTGCAGGAAGAATCGTGGTGCCGAGTGACTCCGTTCACTTCCATTTCGCTTTAAAATGTATTTTTTAATACCTCTTCTGCAAGTCGCTGAGCTTCTGTACATCCCGAATCCTCCTCTTCACTGAGGGTGTATCTCGGCTCTGAACCAGCGATGCCGGGGCTGGTTGCTTGCTCCAGTCCTCCGCCAGTCATTTGGTTCATTTACAGTGCCTTTCACTTTTTGGTTCTCATGCTAGCCTGGAAAAGTGACATTTAGGTTGCAAACACAAGAGGTTAAAGCTTTAAACCACAGAATAATTATAAATGGTTTTATTGGGAGCTTTCCTTCTTATAACAGATGCGATAAAACGTGATTTTTGCTAGCCCTAACCACGGGTTAAATTACCTGCCCCGGCCCTGTTCATTTCTAGAGTTCAGATTTTGCAATCGAGTCTTTTTTTTCTGTGGGGTTGAATTCTGAGTTAGACACGGACGGGTGCTTTACAGCTGCCCTGGGTTTTAGGGATCCCTGCGTGTAGCTGAAGTGATTAATGTACAGCTTACCTTGCAGGTTCAGTGCTGAAATACCACGATCTAAGGTGTCTGTACTGGGAACTAACTTGAAACTGGTTTATTTTGGTTCTGGAGGTTGTTCCCATACCACAGCAGCTGGCTCCCGGAGATCTGTGCACCAGATCAGCCATGTTGTTAAGCGTAAAACTGTTGACAGACTTCACGGTTCGCGTTCTCCGAGTGTGTGCCGCTTCTGTAGCATGTCAGCCGAAAGGGTAAGCTCTTATTAGAGACTTTAATCCAGACCGTCAGGCTTGCTGTCGTTACAGGGTTGTCCTTCCAGCGCTCGAAATCAGCAAGGGAAACGCGATAACGTTTCCCCGTGCTAGATGCTTGCTGATTGAGCTGTCAGCGTGACGACGCATAGCGCAGGAGGGCAAGCGCTCTTGCTCTCCAGCCCTTCCCTCCCTCACGTAGCCTCTTTGGAAAGCCACCACGAAGGATTGCTGGGAGCCTGCCGAAAACGACGGTTTCGGTTTGGCTTTGGTCTGCGCCTCATCAAAGATGAGCTCGTTACAGGTGTTGCTGCTCAGACAGGGGATGTGCAAAGCCCGCTTCAAAGCCAGGAGGTTTTGCTAAGCTTGTTTTTTGGCTAGGCTTTTCCTGTTTTGAACTTGAACTTCACATGACTGTCGCGTAAGCAGAAAAACGGAGGAGGGGAAAGTCTGGGGGGAAGATCAAGTTTAATTTTTCTAGCGTTTAATGCCCTTGATAAAAAGTCTAGCAAAAGATGGCTGGCTGTTATACTTGATGGTCTCTGGTTTCGATCGCAGTGGGACATCTGGAGCGCACATCTCGCGGCGCAGCTGCTTTTGCTTCGCTGCTCTGAAAATGGGCGCTTTCTGCTTCGGTTTCTGCTGGAAGGAAAAGCTGCCCCCACCCAGCCCGGAGCCGGTTTCAGTTGAATGCGATCTCATTTGTCACTTCTCCAACTCGGGCCTAATATAGAGAAACGCTCGGTGTGGCTTCCCCCCCACTAGCGAAGTTGGCCAAGATAAGATCTACTGCCGATTATGGAGCTGGGTTTCTATCAGGGTTCCACTTTGAATTCAGCTTGTTGGGTGTCTTCCCAGAAACACTTAGCGAAGTCTACGGATGATTAGTGCCCTATAAAAGGTTTTTATTACATGCCATTCTCCTCCTTCCCTTTCTTGCAGTGCGTGCTGTATTTATGGAGTTTAAAGATAAATCATCCCAAAACATTGTTCCTCCTTCGAGGGAACCACGAGTGCAGGCACCTCACAGAATACTTCACCTTTAAGCAGGAA